ACACATGGAACGCTGCCAACTCTAATACCCAAAGTGTACTCAGTTATATGAATATATGATTAGATTCTCTTAACTTTCATGACAAATCAGAATAAATGTTACCTTAAAATTGGATTCATACAGGCACTTTTTTATGATAAATTGTCAGTTTCAAGTTGGTATGTTATGCTATGATTAAAGCACATGCCATTCAGAGAGGCAATTGAAATTGAGCTCATTGTTGAGACAGGATTACTGCTGTGAAGTGAATCAAAATTATTAAAGAGCCAATTACAAGAATTAAATCACTTGAAATTGAAATGCATCTTCATTGATATTTTTTCTACAGGTCACCAAGAATCAGTACAAACACACACCAACATGTTGTTTTCAAATGAAACAAATTATTACAGGGTTCATACCAATTTGCTAGGTTTTTGATGTGAAATTGACACTGTGCAGACTTCGTAAAGTCTTTATATGACACACCATAGAGTTTGTCGTTGAGGTGAAAAAAAGACCTGATTTTGTCATACCATAAGTATGTTAAATGTATATTCTGAAGTGAAAATAATAAAATGCATGTCATACTTTCTCACACAAGAGAATTATAAACAACATTAAATTGTTAAGTTGGAAGAACTCCAAAGCTAATGAACTGTCTCTACCCAAAATGCTACTGAACATAAATAAATAAATTCATGTAATAATATACTCACTAAACTCTAGTTTATTTTCAACACATTTGAATGATATTTACACAAATAATTCTATTATTGAGATATTATCAGTTTATTCAATACCTAATTGAGATCACTAAAGGCTATTTAACTGAACTTGAATCTCTGCCAACATTGATTTCTATAGAGATACCGATACAAACAGTAGTCATGATCCACGCCATAGTCAGAGAATAAAAACTGTTGATTTTGGAATTTATAATTAAATTCATCTCTAAACTACTTATTGTATCAGCTGAAAATTTGTAAATTATTGCGCGACAATAAACCAACCATAAAAAGTTTTTAAAACACTAAACATTTTTGATATTTATATTAAAAATTGTGTACTGCAACTTTTAATCATTTAAAATTGTAATTTTTTTGCTTTTAACTGTTATTCAAAGTAACTTCTCGTGGTCAGAGGTAAGTTGTTCTTGGCATGAAACTGCCAATTTAAAATTGACAGAATGAAAAGGTGGATCTGTCCCAGCAACATCATAGTTTTTGTTCATCTTAGTCATGAATGAATTATTTGATTTTGGTGACAATAATTGACAGTCGTTTCACATTGTAGTATTTTAAATAATAAAATCTGACAGTTATAGCCGCCGGCCCTGAGTACAATATTCATAGCAGTTTGTTTTACTAGGGGCATGCCAACAGCCAACCCCAAGCGAGGACGCTGTTTCAGTTAGAAGGAATGCTATGTAATGTTCAAATGAATGGGTGGAAAATTGTATTGTGTGATGAATAGCCCATTAGAGGATTAGAAGCTGTCAGGGGTGAGTAGTGCGTCCTCCCATCTATTCAATCCTAGGTGGAGATCTAACAATGAAACTGGCAAGGTGCTATTGTGTCACGATAACTGAATCTGCTCCTACACAAAGTTAATGGGATAACGAGTTGTAGGAAGAATAAAGCTACCTTCCTATCAATTGTTATATTTCCTTCTCGATGGTATCTGTTTACGTGCTTAAAAATAAAATGTAATCTACCCAGATTTTATCGGAGCTTGTTCTACACTAAAAAAAAATAAATGTGAAAATATAATTGTGCGAAATTGTTGTCAATGTTGCTTTAGATTTTCAATAATTTGTTTGTTTACATGAAATGTTTTACATCCCAGCCAAGCAATGGGGGCATTGTAGCATGCTAAATTTCATTGACTGTTTGTGATTGGAGTTTCTATTGTACACAATTTGAAGAAGAACACTCGTCATTGAAATTATTCAGGTATAAATGTCTCCAAACGTCCTCTTCATAACTGAACTCTTTGACTCAGACTTGCACTGCATGGGGGCAGAACAGCTTGAGATGCACATGTAAGTTATTTTTCTCCCTTGGGGGTAATTACAAACTAATAACTATTTACTTTAACATTGCATTGCTTCTTTTTTCATGGGATTTCACTTTTGTCAGTAGGAATTATTCTGAAAACGTGGGATTTATTTTTGCAGTTGTTTAAGGAGGAACCATACTATAGCTTTCTCATATGGAAGTCAGTGACAATACATTTGTCTTTATAGTTTTCAATTCATCTTAGATAATTTTTATTATTCTTACACATTAATGCAAGTTATTCTGTGAAATTGTGAAGTAATTGCTGTTAAAATTGAAATGATTGTATGATGCTTTACTGTTGTCAGTGTGTCCACTTGGGAAATACCAAAGTCTAATATGTTTCGACAGTGCATGTTTTTCAAATTTTATTTCTGAATTATTTTCTTAACATTGTTTTGCCAGCCAGGTGCCAGCTAATGATCATAATTTGTTGTGTAAATGTTATATGGAAAAAACTTTTTTTTTACCAAAATAGTAATGGTTGCCATGCATCTAGATCAAAATGCTAAGTTGTTTTCAACCTTGCTGCCATTTTTCAGTTCAGTAAACCTATTATATAAAAGTTATTAAAAAGTTGTCCACCATATTGTGTATGCTGTGTAGTGTTTTTAATACAGCAATTCCATTTCTGTTTTCATGAAGTTGTTTGAATATTTTTTTTAACTACCAGTATTCTCTTCTCACTTTCAATAAGTTGTTACCAATCTTTATTATTATACATTTTGTATACAGCCTTGATTTAAAAATGTGCAGTATTTGTAGTTTCTGCTATGATGGATTATAATTCAGGAGACAATGGCGCTGATGATATGTTATATTTTGGATATTTATGTGGATTCATCCGCATGCTTCTGCATTTTACATGTAATGTTGAAAATGAATATTACTTTTGTTAACAGTAATTGCCTTCCTTTGATGTCACGGTATTGTCTGATCATTCCTGTTTGTAAAGTTCAAATGAAATCACGATCTACCATCACAGTTTCATTTAAAATCATTGCATTTGTGTATATTTGCTCTCCACTTCACATTTTACAGTTCATGGCTTTTCTGTGATTAAATTACTATGTGGTTGTATACCATTGGTTACAAACCATATCATAATGTTTCATTATCAACTACGAGGAGGTGGTGAAGTTTTATATCTACTATTTTTTTCATCTTAATCTTTTTTAAGTGAAATGAAGCAAGTAAAATGCAACTCAGCTTTTGCACACATTCATCAAAATGATTTGAAATATACTGTAAATAACTGATCTATAATATTGAAATGTTGTGTGTGATATAGATTATCTGTTGATAATTGCAGTATGAATTAATTGAGAGGTTAATCCTTTTGACATTTTGCATGAGATTTCAGCATTTAGCATTCTGTTATCAGTACTGTTATACTCTGATGACAGTTATATTGTGTGTAAAATACCTTCCTACCAGTATATCCTATTCATACCCTTACCTTCATTGGTTCTGTTCTCTTGTGTAGTCTTTGCTTTATATGTATACTGCTTTGGAAATACAGAAAATGTGTTTTGTAAATTTATTTGAAACTTTGTCAGGTTTGTTGGGTTATATACTGAATTCTAAAATGGAACGTTGTGAAATAGTTCCCAAAATAAAATAGTGATACTTTCACCAATGTTTCAGCTGAATTGTAACTATTGCACACCACATGTTCTGATAACTTATTTTAGTTATGCATTTCCATGCTTTTAGCAGAACATGTCACTAACTTAAATTTTTGTTTTGATAACTTTAATGGCGTATTAGATAGGAAAAAGCTGCTAATATTCGTTGAATATTTGAAATTTGTACTTTTGATATTTTGATTAGTCTGACTGCACGGTGAAATGGGTGTTGAGGTGACTGCCGACATTATAAGGTCACCATTCGAGGTGTACTTATCAACCGTAAATCTCCAGCATACACACATAGACCAAGAACTATTGTTTTACTTGTTCGTATATTTATTTGGCAGTATAAAATATGTTCTTTTCAGATACGCTCCACTATAAAACCGATTTCTGTTTATTTTACTGTAAATGTCACCCCAGTGTGACATAGTTTTCTTTGATATTTGTTAGTTCGTCGCCACGAAGCTATAAAGGGATTAACATATTTAAACCTAGTGTCGGGTGGGCTGCTGTTGTTATTTGCATGGGGATTACCAACCTCTTCAGTCTTGTTAACTTTTCAACTGTCAGTCTATCAACTTCAACCTGAGACTCATTACCTGTGGAATTATTGAATAAAATACTTGATTCTCCATGCACGTATCGAGTTAGATCTATCGAGACATGTTGAAATTTGAAATTATGAAAGCCGCAAACATAAAAGACCGTTGAATGAATGGGTGTACTGATAATTCAGTATGCATTCAGGTTGTCACGAACTGTACTGTTCTCGCTGCCAGGATTGTGTAGCAAAGGTGAAGTCCCAACAGAGTTCAGTTTATTTTTGTTATAATGTGTTTAATTGTGCTTGACATGCCACTTGTAACGGTATGATGTAAATCTAAATTGCTGTGATCCATTACATCTTGTAAACTATGCAGGTATATTTCTTAGCAGGTCACTTTACAGATTCCTGGTGGATGGATTTTGCTTTTAGCCATTTCACCACCGGTTCCCTCCTTATCACCAATTCACAAAATAGTCCTGTTTATAGTCTGCACTTTCCTTCAGAAGATTAGGACAAAAATAGCCAATTTTTTGAGTAAAAACTGAAAATGAACTCAAATTCTGTCTGTTGGCTCCAAAATTAAGGTTCATTTTCAGAAATATTGAAAAATATAAGAAAAAAGTGCAGACAAATTTTGTCAAAGTCTGGTGGTGAAAAGGTTAAGATAACCCACACTAGTATAGCATGATTCAGTACAAGAACTGATTCACACTTCATAATTTTTGTAAATAATTTTCAAAATGAACTGATTCTTTATATTGTTGTATATTTTGTTGACAGATGCCAGTAACTGCCACTGTATTGTTCGATAACATATTATTAATGGAGGTTATTGCTTTGTTGATTGAAACAAAAACAAGAATTTGAATTTAGTGCTGCACATATCTTGCTCACTGTCATCCTCAGACTCGGTAGTAAGTCACATTTTTTATTTGAATCTGAAATCTTGCATGTATAGGATATACCGCTAGTTGTTGTTTTTCGTATTGTAGTAATTTCTATGCAATGTATTGACTTGATGAGCCAGACAGACTGGCACCAATCACTAACAACCAAATTTTTTTTCGTTGATGTTCGACTGTCAGGGTGTCAGGGAGGGGTTTGACACTTTTATAGTAAATATTGAGTCTGTCCTTATGTCACTGGTAATCTTTCCTACATGTGGATCATTTATGATCATTTATGTACCAATGTTTTTTCCCCTCTCATTTTCTGTGATATATTCTGTACCAAACATAATTTCATAGTATTGATAAACCGTAGTTGAGCATGGTCATTAAGACTTGTGGCTACAATTCATCTAACTGTCTTCTTGCCCAAAATTTGAATGTCTTTGAATGCAAATTGTTTGCAGACATTTTAACCACTTGTGATTTCTAGTGAAGTTACTGGAATACAATGTTTTTAATAAGGTCTGTCCAACAATCTGCTACGGTGTCTGTGTGAGTATGTTGTCCTTTTGCCATATTCCAAAACAGAAAAACTATCTACCTTCAAACGGAATCCATGGATTCTTTCATCATATAATAATACATTATGTTTGCTGCTGAAGTTGCGTCTATGTTTGATATAAAATGGCTTGTTTCTCCATAGGGCCACAGAAAATTTACAACCATTACATGAGTGCTCATAAGACTTTATTTTTATTAATGAGTTTTTTTATTTGTGTACACTGCAAGGTCAGTATATGAGACACTGTTTTGAAATCCTGCCTATATAGCGCCCTCTTGTGATATTAAATGTTCAGGCTAGTCAGAAACTTGCATCTGTAAGAGATTTTTCAGCTAATATGAATCTCCCATGAAAAAAGTTGCATCTTGTTTTCAACATTCAGTGTTTATTTTAAAATGACTGAGTTTGAAAGCTGATATGCATATCAATTTAGTTTTCTATGAAATGATTCCTTTTATATAGCATTTGCTTCAATGTGTTCATGTTTCAGTTACCATTAATGCCAATGCCTAGCAGGAATTAAATTGAGATATCTTATGCCTTGCGTAAATCTATATATTAAGAATAACCACCCCACATGTTGGAGGTTGTGTAATTTTGAAAAATGATTATGCTTTACTTTTGAATCCAACATACCTTTGGGTCACATTTTTAACAACTTCGTGCTACGTCTTTAGTGCAAAACATTATTTTTGCTGATTTCCATTGACAGAACGATTTAACACTTCTGTGTGTTATTCATGTTTGGGGCCTACTTTGAACAAGGAAAATCATGGTATATGGTCTATTTAACTACAGCTTCCATCATCAAAAACATATTCTCGACCAATCAGAACAATATATTGCAACAATTGAAATACTGGTATAATGTAATTGCTTATAAATTCAAATTGATTAAAAAATATCTGATGCAGATGTACAACATTGAGTTAAAAATTTAACTCATCGTAGCTGTACTTCTAATCAAACTTGATAAAAATGTTAGTTTAATGCTATCAAGTAACAAACTTAAAGTTTGTAAATGATTACCTCATTGTTTACGTTAGCAGGATACCAATCAGTTACTAATCTGACCCAATCACTATAATTTGGACGCCCTCATTAAATGAAATGGTCCATTTGATGTACTGTTCAGCTGAAAACATTGTCTCCAATTCGGACATAAAACATCTGATGTAGTTCAATCTGGGACACATTTTGAAACTTAAAGGGGAACTAAATAGAGCCTATTTTGGTGTTTGTATTTATCAAGTTATGTATATTGATTATAAATTTGAAAAAAAAAATTTAAAAAAATGATTATCTTCAGAGTTATGATGATTTAAATATGAGAAACCATAAACCTGCGAAGGACTTCCGTTTGCGCCATCTTGCCATCAAAAAAACGCCCTCATGAGGTATAAACAGGTAAGGTAACAAAGCATGATGACGAAATAGTATCTGATTAAATATAAGCAACTTAGGGAGCCATAGTTGGCTGGACTGGTGAATTGACTTCTTGTCTAGGTTGTTTCGACTTTTATGTTAATGTTATTTACAAGCGTATCAACATACAAACATTATGGATGTGCGATTGATCGAGACAGGCATTTTGTTTTGTTTTTTTTCTAAATGCTGTTTCCAGTACTGCACTGTGCGACGTGCAAATTATTCAAAGTATAGATGCTGGAGTATGTAATCTTGAGTTCGTAGAGTGATGGTGGAAACATTTTCGTCCATGTATTCACGGGGCTGCACTGGCAAATCATGGGACAAGTATCACAGGAACACCAAGCAGATTGTTCACAGACTTCCGTGTAATTTGAAATAAAACTATCATCCGAACAAGGGGCATCGTCGACAATATACTCTCATCACTCACACTGGACTGATCTGAATCTTCACAGTATACCGTACTTCCCTGATCATAAGCCGGTTAATAGTACATAAGCTGGTTAATAGTAACCGTGGGTAAACTGAGTGTGGAGGAAGAATTTAAACACCTTTCTCGGTCGCCAACATGTCTCATCGTTCAAACCCTAGGCCTTTCATGATAGTCTCAAAGTAAACCATGCCCAATAACCAGGTACACGACTTAACGATCACATTTTTGGCTTTTCGAAAGCTACTACTCAAAGAAATAGGGATTACTCCCGAATTGCAACATCGGGGTTCATCCTGAGTAAATAACAGAATAGAAGCATCCGAACCACGTTCTGTACGTTCGCCATGCACTCTGAAATTAATGCGAGTTTTCTCATAAAACTAAAAGCATGAACCAAACTACCATGCCATTCACGATTATTATGAAATGAAACACACCTTTTACACGCATATTATAATCGTGAATATACATGTATAACCAAGTAAAAATATAGGGATGGGCTTTATACTCGAGAGGGACTTACGATCGGGTAAGTACGGTACTTTAATGCAATTGGGCTTTCACTCTCAGAATACTGTGGTTCAAACGCATAAGGCTCTAACCCAAGTTTTAAAAAGCACATTGTGCATATAAAAGTTGAGTTTATACTAGTAGTAGACAATGCTTGGCAGCATGAACGGCTATGTACAATGGCGTATACGAATGCGATCAGATACTAAAACGTCATAGCTTTGAAAAGTACCCGGATGTTAAATATGTTCGTTCCTTATTTATTCCCCTCCATGAATGGCCTCCATGGTGTTTAATTGCAAGCATTTCAAATGCCTATCCAAGCTACAGTTATAATTAAAACAAAATTGAATCACTGCAATATTATTTCGAATACAGTTTAGAATATACACAACTATAAATTAAGGCCGCATTTAGGTTCGCTTTAAACTTTATTTTTTGGACCAACAAATTATTATATTTGGAAGAGGTGGAATTATATTTTTTTAAATAAAAATTAAATTATAAGAAGAAAAAATAAAATTATAAATTGATAGAGAAAAATAATAAATTGTTTTCACAAAAATTATGTGGCATAAATTCAGTAATAATAAACTTGTAATTTGTTTATTCATAGAAGGCTCTCCAAGATAGATTGAAATAAAGTCATTCGTCATGTAAGCTGGCATTTCTGTTTCAGCCCTATTAGAAGCACATCTCTAATATGAGCACGTACAAGTCAAAACTAACGAATTTTACATGCCAAATATTACTAATTTAGACCATACAAACACCTCTGAGATTTTCAGCATTGCAGTCAAGACAGTTCACACTTTGTCTGAGGTAACTGAACTTAAGTAAACATACTGTTGATTAACTTATGATTAAAACACACAATAAATGTTTGTAAAAGCCATTAAGTCGTGTGCGAGTTTATGTTGTTTGTAATCCTTTCTCAGCCAAGTCACTTTAAGTACACAATAATGTTTACATGTTTTGTGTATTCTACTATAAACTGTTATCAGACTTTATCTCAATCAAGGCTGCATTGTGGACACTGATGTTGAAAGAACTGTAATTGCATGCAACACTATAAATAAAACAAATACAGTATTTAGTTGATATAGTCGTGCACCAAAGTGAACCCAGAAAAATGTACTCTTGAACCGTGTTTCTGATTCTGTGATAAAACCACCTAAATAGCATGAAAACCCAGGCTGCCCATCAGTAGTTTTTAATTGCATTCTCATCGTAAATTGTATTTTCCATAATATAAATTTTAATGGGTATTACAACGTGCAACGTTTTTTTTTCCTGCCTATAAGCATGAATTTCGAATTAACTTGCCGAAAGCAACTGGATGGTTTTGCAAGAGGCTTGACACTTTTAAAAGGTTGTTTAAAAATGATTGGCCCAAGGGAGTGCTGTCAATACCGAATAATCCCAGGAGACACTGATTTGTAAAAACTGTTTGTATGGCTTTTATTTCTCGTCTCGATTTAATAAAATAATTCGGAAAACACTCTATTTATGTTGTACTTTAATTTGGATTTTGTGTTCTGGGAATTTGTTTCTTTAATTTTATATGTTAAGTTGCTGGCCGGGACAATTGATTCAGATTTGTTTTCGTAAAGGCCCATGGTTCGT